GAGTGGAGAGGCCACTTCGAGGCATCAGCGGCTCAGCTTAACCTAAACCCCTAAACCCTAAAAACCCCTAATAAAAACCCTAAAAACCCTAAAACCCTAAAAACCCTTAAAAACCCTTAAAAACCCTAAAAAACCCTAAAAAAACCCTAAACAATCCCTAAAAACCCCGAAACCACTAAACCCCAAAACCCTAGAGGCTTCTAAGGACAGGGTCGAGCCGAGCATGCCGAGCTTCCGGATGGTAGATGTTCGACACTGCACAGCAGATAACTTCTCCAAGGCGGGCGTGTTTCCGCACTTCTCGAATCCAATGGCAGCACCAGCCTCAGAACCCTAGGGCCAAGGTTTAGGGTTTAGGTAAACCCTAAACCCGAAACCCTCAAATTCTGAGCCCGAAAAGCAGCTTGAAGGTGCGATCATTTTAGGGGAGCAGGTTGCGGAAACCCCTAAACCCTAAACCCTTTCTCTATGTTTATGCTTTTTCTATCCCTGGTCACTTATCAAAAAGGCCGCGCTTGTGCCTAAGGTCCTAGGTTTCGGGCTTTAGGGGCTCGCTGTTTATCTCGAGTGTAAGGCCTCGGGCTTAGGCTTTAGGGTTCAGGGGTTGAGGGTTTAGGGGTTTGGGGGTAGGGCTCGCTGTTCAGGCCTATGCGGATCGGGTTTTGAGCAGAAAGGCCTACGCTTGGTGCTAGGCTTTGGAGTTCCTTGTCTCCTCGGCTGCCCGCTTTGTTTCGACCTCGACTCGAATGGCTTACCCAAACACATGTCCAAGAGCAGGCATGCAGCCACGGAAAACACGCATTTCATATAGAGTGTAGTTGAGAGAGGCCGAAAGCGCTGAAGTTGCATTGCTTGTCCGCTTGTCCGAAAAACCGGTTTCGTGTGCGTTCAAGCGTACATGTGCTGTTTCGCTGAGAGCTTTTTTGCGAAGGTCATAAATGGAGGAACAGTACAGCAAGGGAACGAAAGTTGAAAGTGTGAGTTTTCAGGGCAATCAACCTGTCGTTGCGACCCTGGACTTACGGTGCAGACATGGATGCGCCGAACTCGGGACGGATTAAACCTTCCGCTATCATCCCTTAGCCTAAACCCTAAACCCATGGTTGGGCCATGGATGCGCTGCGACGGTCACAACGGCGATAGTAGCTAAAAGCCAAAGCACGATTCCGAAAGCTATACACCCAAGAAGGTCTGAAAGAACCTTATATCCGAAACTATAAAATCTAGCCGCCAAAGCCTTAAAATCTGAATATCCCAAACCCTGAGGCACGAATCTCCCAAACACGGAAGCCTGATCCCTAAGCCCAAACCACTCTGAAGCCTGAGACGTAAACCTAAACTCCTAAACCCTCAACCCTAAACCCCTAAACCCCTAAACCCCTAAATCCCTAAACCCCTAAACCCCTAAACCCCTAAACCCCTAAACCCCTAAACTCCTAAACCCCTAAATCCCTAAATCCAGGCAAGCTGCACTTGAACTTTTCTCCAGGTCGCGGGTCCCTCCTTGCACTTCGAGACTCGACCTCGGTCCCAAAAAGCGTTTAGGGCTTCGGGTTTAGGATTTCGGGGTTTAGGGCTTCGGGTTTAGGATTTCGGGGTGTAGGGCTTCGGGTTTAGGATTTCGGGGTTTAGGGTTTCGGGTTTAGGATTTCGGGTTCAGGGTTTCGGGTTTAGGGTTTCGGGTTTTAGGTTTAGGGTTTCGGGTTCAGGGTTGAGCTAGCCGTTCCGACAGTAAACCAAACTTAAACCCTAAACCCTAACAACTTGGTCGAGTTTCCTGGGAGTTCCACATTGGATGCCAGTTCGGTGTTCCTCTGGCTGGAACTGGCTGGTCGTCACGGCCGCAATCTCCAGGAGGATGCGTCCAGCTGAGTTGTTGATGGGTTTAGGGTCTAGGGTCCAGGGTTTAGGGCTTGAGGACATGTTAGCATGTCACTGAACTTAAATTCCATGCACAAAGCTCTGATAAAAGCCTTGTAGAACATGCTGAAGCCCGTCTAGAACCCATAGGTAAAACCTTTGCAGACACCCTAACAACCCTGCCTTTAGCTACCCTATAATGAAGATCATAGGAAGGCTGTTCGGCAGGCTCAATTGACATACCAAAAAGTCAGTTCTTGTATAAACTACTGTTGCTTCAATTCAGCTGCAGTATGTGCAGGTACCGTGTCAAGGAAGAAATACTATCTGAATCAGCTCTGGTCAGTACGGCTGTCTTCAACTCCCAAACTTTTAAGAGCCATGTATCCTAAACCCTGAATCCCAAACCGGAAACATAAACACCCTAAGAGTTACAACCGAACGCCCAAAACCCTAAACCCTAAACTACCCTCAAACAAAGCCTACACCAAGGGGCCGAAACTTCCCATCGTCACCTTTGTCCGCAAAGTTTCCGAAGACCAGCTCATCACCAAACCACACCGTGGCAGTGTCTGCGCGGGTCCGGGTCTCGAACCTTCGGGGCCGGGGGGTTTGTTGGGGGTGTTAACAACTTTACAACTTTCTTGGCAAAAAGGGCGTTCGTACTTAGAATATTTCTCATCTCGAAAAGTTCTTCCAAAGAGCTCTATATTGGTTCTGGAGCAAGGGCTTGGCCTCAGGGTTCTATGTAGGACCTTCGCAGATAGACTTGGGTCTCTTTAGTTCATAGAAAGGAACCCGAAGCCCTACACCCTAAACATCCTAAACACCCTAAACACCCTAAACCCTAAACCCGGAACCCGAAGGCCTAAGGAACGACATTGGAAATTAGTCAGGCTTGTTGTGCCCAAACCATCGACAGAGTCGGTCATGCCATGTCTCTCTCGCTGCTACAACCACTACCCACTTCAATGATGTGTACTGTTATCGTTATCTCTATCGCCTGAACCACTCAGCCCTGGACATAAACCCTATTGCTCAAGGCTCAAGGAGACACCAAAACCTTTCCGGTGTGGTCTTCGGACCCCTCAAAATTGGGTCCTTGGAACTTTCGGGGAAGCCATAGGCTTGATGATCCAGGACTTCGCGTTTACATCTGACGGGTTTAGGGTTTAGGGTTTAGGGTTTAGGGCTGAGTGCTTCAGGTTTTGGGGCTTACGCCTGACGGCTGCGGGGTTCAGGCTTTGCACGTGGGGTTCAGGCTTTGCACCTGAATGCTTCAGTCTTTTGGGCTTCGTGACTTCAATCTTTGGGCTTGCTAAGCTCATCCCGTCGAAAACTTCTAAGTCTGTACTCAAGAATTTAAATATGGCTTTGAGCATCTCGAAAACAGCCAATACACTGGGATCCCGGTCCAGTTTGACGCAGATTTCCTGCCGAGCAGCCACCATGCGGCGCATTCCTTACCTCATCCATCACTCTGTCGTAGGCTTCGCCGCCCGGGACGGAAGCGCAGGTTGCATCGAAGCTCTGGCGCATCCTGCCAGGGTGTAGATGCTTTCGGGCATGAGGTTTCGAGGTTCAGGGTGTAGGGTTTAGGCTTTTCTAGGGTTCAGGCTTTAGGGCTTATAGGGTGTAGGGTTCGGGGATGAGGAGCGAGGCTTCGGAGGTTAGGGTTTTGGGGTTCAGCGTGGTAGATGTCTGCAGTACCAGTGCTAGACAACCTCACAACGAATGTCAAGCCCCTATGACGCTTTTGATGATAGTATGATAGAATGTAGTATGATATACATATTATATATATATACATATATACTGTTATAGAAAATAATATACCACATTGAAACATAATGTAGTACAAAACCCTTGCCTCGCTCACACCGATTTTTTAGCCAAATCTGGGTTTCCGGCCTGGCAAAGCAACCGAAGCTGTTGTAGTAGGTGAACACGAGGCCCTTGCCAGCTACCTTCTTGCATTCTGTTTGAAAACGCTTGAAGTCGGATTGTGCTGCGAGATCCTGGGCCACGTAGTTCAACAGCCAATCTGCCTTCGTTTCCTTGACAAGGTCGTGAATGAAGTCCCTCTCGCTTCGCAGCCACTCGCAGGCATATTGAAAGGCTGTGCCATCTTGCATCACAGCTTTCGTGACAATCTGCCTATACTTCTTCTTTTTCTCTTCATCCCCATCGCAACGCTCCCAAAGATCCTCGGCGGCGAACTGTAAAGCGTCACCCGTCCTTGCTACGGCCGCTTCGACGATCCTCAGATCCTTTCGGAGCTCGTCGTGAGCGAACTGCAAAGCATCCCCCTGCTGCCGCACTGCCGCTTCGACAATCTCCTAAGTTCCTTAAGGCATGCCCTGAACATGCCTACGTAAGGGCTTCTTTTGAAGGCTCTAGACGCTTGTAGAGGGGTTGTATGCTAAGTTCAACTGTGCCCCCTTAAACATGAGGTACCCTTTTTGCGATTTTTCACCGTTCATCAGCACCCCGACAAAAAAGGGCAAAAAAGCTGTGCTTGAAGCCAGTTTCCTTGTCTTTCTGCAGCTGTTCAGCAGCAAATTGCAAGGCATCGCCTTTTGTGGTGATGGGTTGGGGTTCAATGGTTCAGGGCCAGTTCAGGGTTTAAGGCTTAGGGCTTATTGCACAGCATCAGAAAGCCTAAATCCGCAAAACCCCAAACTCGCCTTTTTTGGTGACTGCCACTTTCACCATCCTCGGGCACTTGCGAAGCTCGTCTGCAGCGAACTGCAAAGCATGGCCGTGCTGCCTAACCTTAGTTGCTGAGTTCATCGGCCCAAACAGTGTAGGGTTTAGGGTTTAGGGTTCACTTTAAGTTTGATAAGGGATGACCAAAAAGTGTATCCGTTCGGCTACTAAGTAGCTGCTTTCTCGACGATGCTCTCGTTTTTCTGCAGCTCCGCGGAAGCGAATTGCAAGGCATTGCCGTTCTGCTCTACGGCTGCTAAGACAACCTTCTTGTTCTTCTGAAGATCGGGGGACGCGAACTCCAAGGCATCACCCTGCTGCTGAACCTGGGTTCTTGTTTAGGGGTTTAATTTAAGTTACCATATTGGGGATCCATAGTAAATAATATGGTTTCCTGTCTAGGGAAATTTAAATGACATCCCCTAACAAGAGCCAGGAACTGCAAGTAAGACGATGCCTTCATCTCGCTGGAGCTCCGGAGACGCGAACTGCAGAGAATCGCCCTGCTTCCTTACCTGCGTTGTAGGTTTAGGGTTTAGGGTTTAGGGGCCCTGAAACGGTACTTAGGAATAGGTAAATAGGAATCTCTATACTCTAGGAACCATCAAGGGAGAGTTAGAAAGCTTCCCAAAATGCCACCTACCCTAAACCCTAAACCCTCAACCAGTAAACCCTAAAGCCTAAAGCCTGTATAAACCCTAAACCCTAAACCCCAAACCCTAAACCCTAAACCCCTAAACCCCTAAACTCCTAAACCCCTAAACCCTAAACCCTAAACTAAACCCAAAACCCTAAATCCTAAGCCCCCTAAACCCTAAATGCCACCGAGCCACGGCTGTCTCCACGATCCCTCTGTTATTGCGAAGTTTTTCGGAGGCGAACTGTAAGGCCGTGGCTTTCTGCTTGACTGCTGGGAACACGATGTCTGCCTCATCCTGGGCTGCTGTTGAGGGGCTTATAAGGTTTAGGGTTTAGGGTTTAGGGGTTGTGGGTTTAGGGTTTAGGGCTTAGGGTGTAGGGTTTAGCGCTTAGGGCTTAGGGTTTAGGGCTTAGGGTTTAGGGTTTAGGGTTCCGTAATAAAGAAACCCCAATATTTACTGTATATGCCCAGTATGGTAACCCAATTAAGTTTCTTAACAGCAACCCAGCATCTTGGAATTCGGGCGCAGCAAACTGCAAGGCATCACCGTCATTTCTGACGGCTGCCAGAACAATGAAGTGATCTTTCCGAAGCTCCGGTGACGCAAACTCCAAGGCACAGCCTGCGTGCTTCACTGCTTCCGTCACGATGTCCTTGACCTTCTTTAAGTCTCCTGGGTTGTAGTGTTGGGGCCCTTAAAAGTATTTAAGAATAGGTACCTCTATAGGAACCATGAAGGGAAATCAGAAAGTTCTCCAAAGTGCCACCGAGTCTCCGGCAGCGAACTCTAAGGCGCTGCCATCATTCGAGACAGCGGCCAAGACAATCTCGCGATCCTTCTGATGCCTTCGGCTGGCGAACTGCAATGCACGGCCCATCTTCTTCATCGCGTCCATCACCGTACTTCTGAGTTTGGGCTTGTTCTGCAGATACTCGGGGATGAACTCCAATACATCCCCACCTCCATCCAGCATCACCGCCTTTCGCACGATGTTCTCATTCTCTTGCAGGTCCGGAGGCGCGAACTGGAAACTGCAAGGCTTGTTCTGGACTGCTGCTATGACGACATCGGGATCCATCCGATGCTCGCAGTTCACATAGGCGAACAGCAAGGCATCGCCGTCCTGCGCGACTGCTGCCAAAACAATCTCCCGGTCCCTCGCAAGCCTCTCGGCGGCGAGAGTTTTAGAGCTTTGGATCTTTAGACTTGAAGCTCGAAAACCCTAAGCCCCTAAATCCCCAAACCCCTAAACCCTAAACCCCTAAATGCCCAAACCCCCAAAACCCCTAAACCCCTAAACCCCCAAACCCCTAAACCCCTAAACCCCTAAACCCTTAAACCCTTAAACCCTACAGCTTTCGGGTTCGGGGTTACTTAGGGCTTGGGGGCTTGAGGCAGAAGGGTTCAAGGGGTCTCGCGCTTTGGGATTTGTTGGCGGAATCCCCAAACCCGAAAGCCTAAACCCCAAAAAAAACCTAAACCCCTGAACCCTAAAAAACCGTAAAACCCTGAAAAAACACAAAAGCTATACTAAACCCTAAACCCTTAAAAGTTTGGTGCTCGTTGGCTTCTGGATTGTTAAGGCTTTCACCCGCCTTTCGCTGGCAAACTTCAAGGCATGGCCATTCTTCTTGACTGCCTCAGGTTTAGAGCTTAGGCTTTGGGGCTCAGGGCTTAGGGCTTAGTGTTTAGGGGTTTAGGGGTCTAGGGGTTTTAGGGGTTTCAGGGGTTGAGGGGTTTAGGGTTTAGGGAGTTTAGGGGTTCAGGGGTTTAAGGTTTAGGGTCCAGGACCTTCAGCGAGGAGAATTCTCGCCAGCACGCTTCCTTGCCATTTATCTTTTAGAGCTCTTCAGAGAGAGCCCTCCCAGGTCCTTCAAACCCTAAACCCCTAAACCCCCAAACCCGTAAACCCTAAACCCCCAAACCCCTAAACTTTAAACCCTAAACCCTAAACCCCTAAACCCCTAACCCTTAAACCCTCAACCTTAAATCCCTAAATCCCTAAACCCTAAACCCTAAACCTTAGCCCTAACCTCTGAAACCCCAAGACCAGCAATCGGAAATCCCAAAGCCTAAACCTAGGACATTTTCAGGTGTTTCGTGACCGTTATAGGAGCCTTATAGAAGGTCTATATGCCGTATAGAAGTCTTATGGAAGCCCTACATACCCTAAACTCCCCACCTGTAGTTTCCCCTAAACCCTAAACCTGAAACCCTAAACCCTTTTCCTTTAACTAAACCCCAGCAAGCTGCCGCCAAGACAATCTCCCTGTCGTCTCTTAGCTCCTGAGCGCCCTAAACCCTGCATCCGAAACTTTTAGGCTTTAGGGTTTAGGGGTTTAGGGGTTTAGGGGTTTAGGCTTGGGGGTTCAGGGTTTGCGGTTTAGGGGTTTAGGGTTTAGGGTTTAGCATTTGGGGCTTAGGGTTTAGGTTTAGGGTTTCGGGTTTAGAGGCTGAAACCGTGTAAGGGGTGCAAGGTGTGCTCAGGCCATCTGATGTGTAGGGTTTAGAGTTTAGGGGCTCAGACACTTTCAGGGGTTCAGGGTGGCCGTCCTCAACCCCGAAAGTCACCACCCTGGACCCCAAAACCGAAGACCCTGCACACTCATGGAGGAGCCTTAATAACTAGAATAGGGTTTTGAGGGGTTCCTTATTCTATCTATAGCGTATATACCACAAAACCCTATTCTAACTGTTAAGGCCCCTATAGTAAACCCTTAGGCTCAGCTCCTGAGGCGCAAATTCCAGGGCATCACCCTTCTTCTGGACGGCCATCAGGACGATGTCGCGATCCTAGGGTTTTTCAGTGGCTCTGCGTTTAGAGTTTAAGCTTGTGGGTTTGGGGTTTAGGATGCAAGGTTTCTGCAGTTAGTAGACCTTTGCCCAAGCAAGATTCCCCTTCGCCCCCCCGGCGCGGATTCTCAAGCCCTATTTTCTTCCTAACCTAAACTAAACACCCACAAACCCTCTACAGCCCAAACCCGCAAATAGCAGAGCCCGAAGACCAATTTCTGCAAAACAAAAAACATTGGGTAACCTAGGATCCCTTCTTCTCTCTTCGGCGACGAACTCCAGTGCAAAGCCCTCGCGCTCCACAACGGACAGGACAAAGGCATGGTCTTTCCTGGGCTACTTTTGGACCCTCTTAAGGGTTTTAGGCATATGTATGCAGGTATGTACGTACGTACGCACCTACGTACATGTATATGTATGTATGTCTGTCTGACAGTATATGTAAATTATATATATATATGTGTGTGTGCGTGTGTATGTGTATGTGTATGTGTATGTGTATATACATACACAAATGTATGTGTGCATATATATATACATACATTTATTTATTTATTTAGAACTGTATATAAATACACATACAGTGTGGTAAGCAACACCATGAGAGACAGTGTCGATTGAGGTTTCCCCCACGCCGTCTCATTCACAGCAAATGCTGCAACTCAGGTCTCCGGTCCCAAAAGGGGTCCCGGTGTGGCCCGGTGGTTTAAGGAATATACCTTAAAATATAAGGGCTTAATATTATGATTTAAGGAATATTCCTGAATTAAAGAGTATCCGGTTCTCTGGGTGGATTCATGGTCTGTTCGCGGCCTCCTGGTTTTTGCAGTGGTCACTTGCTGGTCTTTGGTCCTGGTGGTCTCCCAGTCCTTGTCGTTATCTGACTGATCCGCGGGTGGTAACATGGCATACATGCTGGAGAAAACAGATGGCAACTTGTGTTTTCCAAGCAGTTCAGGCCCCTGCGCATGTGATGGTGGTCGCGACTTGCTGGTCCTCATGGTATGCTTCTGGTGTGGACCCAGGGAGCCCAACACCCCCTTAATTAGGGAATATATTTAAATTAGAGGGACCTCAATATGTATGGTTTAAGGTAGATTCCTCCTTGATTAAAACTAAGGGGTTTTGGGCTCTCTGGGCTTGAGGTTTGAGGAGGGGTTCGGTCTTCTCACGAACATGCTGTGCTACACTCTGAGACTTGTCTTCCGGAACGGCCTAAACCCTAAAGTTCTAAAGCCCTGAACCCTAAAACCCCAAACCCTAAAACCCCAAACGCCAAAAAACCCAAACCCTAAAGCCCTGAACTCTAAAACCCCAAACCCTAAACTAGGCCTAAAGCCCTGAACTCCAGAAACACGCAAGGGCTCCGAAGCGCGAGGTCCGCGAACCGCAAGGCCATCCCGTCCTCCCCAGGGCTGCCCAATAAAGGATCGTGGCTTTTTCTGCTGTTGCTGGTTTCGGGTTTAGGGTTTAGGATAATGGGTTTAGGGTTTAGGAAATGAACCCTAAACGAACATCCATTAACACTGTGAACTGGAACTGGGGTGCAAACTGAATGTGGCCACGGTGTTCCCTTGTTTGCGTGTCGGTCGTTGCAAACTGTGGGTTTCGCATGAACGGGCCTGCAACGCCAGGCAATTATTTCCGCCTTGAATAGGCATACATCGCCCCAAACCCAAACAAAGCAGCTCATTTTGGCCTGGGGAAGTGCGAAAGCCACATCCAGTTGGGCATCCAGTTTCCGGGGAGGTATGAAAGCCACATCCATTTTACATCCATGTTTCCCAAGGGGCCGGAAATCAACATCCATACAGGAACATTCATTGTACATCCACTTTGTCTCGGAAAACTGGTGTAAAATGGATGCTGGGCGGGCGGTCGGAAAATGGAGGAACATCCATTTTACATCCATTTTGCCTTGGAGAATGGATGTAAAATGGATGTTGGGTGGGGTCCGGAAATGGACGTCTATTGCACGTGCATTTCACATCCATTTTCAGACAGCCCCAGACATGGATGTTCAATCCTGCGTCCATTTTGCAACCTCCCCATAAGAGGGGAAAGGGGGCAGGAGGGACACTCTGGTCACGGCTCACAAGCCAGGCTTCCCATTCATCGTCGCTAACCGCTACCCACTATCCTGTCTGTGGCCGAATGCCTCCTCGCTAACACCTCCTGAAAAATATATGATGCGGTCTCCATGTTCCATTAACACCTCATTTCTGAGCCACGCCCCTGAAATGGACGTTGGTTTCACACCTCCATTTTGCAGCCATGCTCAGCTTAGGGTTTAGGGTTTAGGATAGGGAGTTAATGTAGGGGCCTGAATAACTAGAATAGGGTTCTCGGCTCCCTTATGGTGTAGTTAGAATAACGAACCCAAAACCCAAAGCCCCTAACCCTAAACCCTAAACCCCTAACCCTAAAGCCTAAGCCCTAAACCCCTGAACCCAAAACCGCAAGAGTCGCTTTTGGAAGGACATCCCTGGTCCTGTCGGCATGCAGCCCAGACGATTCCTCGATCGCACTTCTGCTCGCTCCGGGCGTGCCGCAAAGCAACGCCTCTCGAATTCTTATAGGGTTTACGGTTTAGGGTTTCGGGTTTAGGGGTTTGGGTTTAGGGTTCAGGGTGTCGAAGAACTTCACGATAAGGGCTTTACAGGTCTCAATGGGCTTGTTCGAGGTGTTTGGAAGGGTGTTGAGGTTTGGGGAACTTCATGTAAGCTGCTAGAAATCAAACGATTTACACAAAAACATCTATAGTAATGATTTTAGTATTATATAACAAAACCCTGAGCCCCTAAACCCCAAACCCCGTTTCTTCACAGGCGCCGTGCCTTTCTGCTTTACGGCCGTCAGCACAATGTCCCGATCTCCGAGAAGCTCTTTTGCAGCGAAGTGCAGGGCATGACCATCCTTTCGACAGCGAGATTCCTACCCCGAGCCCCAAAAGCCCTGAAGCCCTAAAGCCTAAAGCCACACGGAATTCGGGTGTTAAGAACCTCGTCGGGCTTATACTGAAATTGCAATAGTACAACTAAGAAGAAGAAGAAGACACCGTTCCTAGGAAGATCCCGGTCCTGCCCGACTGCTCCCCTAAACCCCTCTAAACCTCCAAATCCCCTAAACCCCTCACCCCCTGATCCGTAAACCCTAAACCCCTAAACCCTAAACCCCTAAACCCTTTAAACCCTGAACCCTAAACCCCTAAATTCCGCTAAACCCTAGGTCCTGTCTCACCGCCGCCAGAACGATGCTGCGGTCCCTCTTGAGCTCCTCGGAGGCGAACTCTAAGGCAAGGCCACAGTGGCTGACGGCGGCGAAGACGATGTCGTGGTTTCCTAGGTTGCCATGGGTATTTAGGGTTAAGGGCTTAGGGTTTATGGTTGGGCGTTTAGGTTTTGGGGTCTAGGGCTTGGGATTTGGGGTTCAGGGGGAACCCAACAAGAAAAAGGACAAAAGGGTACTTCTGAGGAACCTAGTTTCTTCGAAGATCGCGTTTCGTGTGCTGCAAGGCTTTCCCGTCGGACTGGACAGCCGCCAGCGCATTCGCTTTCTCGCTTTCGGCACGATGTGCAACGCGCCAGATGCTGTGATCCTTGTGAAGCTTCTTGGCGGCGAAGAGCAAAGCATTGCCGTTCTGGGTGACTGCGGCCAAGACAATGCTGCGATCCTCCTTCAGCTCTTCGGCGGCGAAGCGCAAGGCAGGGCCCCTCTCCTGAACCGCTGCTAAGACAATTTCGCGTTCCTTCTTGAGCTTCGGGGCGGCGAACTCTAAGGCATCACCATTCTGCTTTACTGCCGCCAAAACGATGTGACGATCACCCTTCAGCTTCTTGGGCGCGTGCTTCAGGTACCTGGGTTCTTCTTAAGGTACTTTTTTGAGTTACCTTGACGAGGAGTGCACGTCGCTGTGCAGCATATGGTTAGTTCTCTAAACCAGGGTCCTTCTGGGGGTCCCGTACAGGATTACGGCGCCTTGTAATAAGGACCCAAAAAGGGGACCCTAATCTAGAGAACTAACTTAGAAGCAGAAACTCTAAGCCCTAAACCCGAAAAGTTTCTCAACCAGAGCAGCCCAGGTGCTCACCCTTTTTCTGGACTGCCGCCAGGACAACTTCTCGATGAGTCTTCAACTCCTGGAGATGATGGGGGTTTAGGGTCTAGGGTTTGGGGCCTGGGGTTTAGGGTTTAGGGTCTAGGGTTTAGGGCCTGGGGTTTAGGGTTTAGGGTCCAGGGTTTAAGGGCCTGGGGTTTAGGGTTTAGGGTTTTGGGCTTAGGGCCTGTAGGGTCTAGGGTTTAGGGCCTGGGATTTAGGGTTTAGGGTCTAGGGTTTAGGGCCTTTTTAGGGTTTAGGGTGTAGGGTTAAGGGCCTGGGATTTTAGGGTTTAGGGTCTAGGGTTTAGGGCCTGGGATGTAGGGTTTAGGGTTTTGGGTTTAGGGCCTGTAGGGTCTAGGGTTTAGGGTCTAGGGTTTAGGAGGGTTTAGGACTTCAAGCCGTGCCATTGATCTGCACCTGAAGCCCGACGCCCAAATCATGTCCAAACAGATGGCAAACTTCCCTAAACCCTAAACCCTAAACCTTGTGAATCAGTGCAATGGCAGAGAGCCTCTGGAAAGCACTCGACGCCACAACAGACCTAGAAGAAGCAGCACACAAACGCTCCGAAAGAATTGAACTCCCCCCCCAACTGTTAATGTGGGGACGTGGCTAGCTTTAAGAACTCCACTAACAACCAAGATGGTTTTAATCAAAATAAGCAGCGGGGCTAGATCACCAACTCATTGATCCTGAATAGACCCCACGCCGTAAACCCTATGCCCTAAACCCTAAACCGAGAATCCGACAAGCCTCCCTGAGGCCCCGACCCATGCGTCGGAAGGACATGTTCCCAGAGCATCGATGCCTTTTTCCTTCATCTCCGCGAGTAGCTTGCTTAGATCCTCGCAATCCTCCTGCTTGGGGGCAAAGAGATGGGATTCGGGAGTAAACCCTAAACCCAAAAACCTAAATCCTAAAATGTGGTGTAGGAATTTGGAAGCTGGGAATTAGATTTTGGCTTGGGCTCGGGGCTTCGTCCGTAAACCCGAACCTCCAACACCCAACACCCTGCGGTTTACTTAGTGGCCCAGGGACTGCAGCAAGTAGGTGATAAGGAGTTATAAGTACCTTGAATGGAGTTACCCCAACTATAACCCTACCCTAAACCCCAAACACTAAACCCTGCTTATGGCCTACTTAAGATTTGAAGGCCTTAATTGCGTTCATATAAGCTGTCGAGTCGGGTGGTCTGTGCCGCGAATTCCTCCTGCCTTGATGGTTGGAATTGGTTCTATAAGGTCTACACTTTAAGGGTTTTTAGAAGTTTAGAACATGGGCCGTTTATCATTGCAGCAGGCTTTTGGGAGATATTACACTTTTGGTTGAGTCGGGACTGCAGCGGGGAAGTTCTTAAATATTCAGACCCGATGATGTGTGGTGACAGCCTGTGGAATGTCGCTGGTACATAAGGCCGCTGAGGGATCCAGACGGCACAAGACGGGCTTCTGATGCATCCTGCGATAAACCCTTGAAACCCTACACCGCAGCACTTATAGAGCTCTTTATGGCCTTTGTGGCCCGCCCCATCACCACCATGTCATCATCTGAGACAGGCTCCTCCACCTCCGGGACAGAAGTTTGGGATTAAAGGTTTAGGGTTTAGTGGGACAGCAGTTTGATGGTATACATCCCGAAACCCTAAACCCTAAACCTGTAGGGCGTGGGATTTGGGGTTGAGAACCGGCTCAGGCGACTTAGTTCGTAGAGTGTCACCAGCCTAATTAGAGAAGACCGACATTACATGCTGCCTACGAAGCCCCCTTCGATCCGCGAAGAAGCCCTTTCAGCTCTCCTACCTTCGACAGCAGAATTCCCAAAACCTAAACCTTGAATTCAAATCCTGAACCCTACGACTTCTTTTGGGTCGAGGCCGTTCCTGATGCAGTTCCTGGTGATAGAGAAGCGGTGCAAGGACTGCGATGATCAATGAACATTACTGTTTGTGTGGCGGGGGGGCGGGGGGGGGGGCACGCAGAAGGCACACGGCAACCATGAGGGGAGTTAGGGGACAAAGCCTTGTGGTTTAGGGTTCAGGGTTTAGGGCCCTAAACCCTAAACCCTAAATCCTAAACCGATCGGGGTATAGGGTTTAGGGTAAAAAGAGAGTCCGGCTTGCCGGCCTCACACGTACGTCAAAGCCTAGATCCTCAGGGCCAAGCCCGAAAGGGCCCCTCTACTGGGGTTTAGGGTTTAGGGTTTAGGGTTTAAGGTTTAGGGTTTAGGGTTTAGGGTTTAGGGTTGATGATAAAAAGCCTTTGCATTACCTTAAGGGCCCTACACTATGGGAATTTTGGTATCTTCCTTCTTCTGGGTAATGCAGGAATTATTCTCATCAACCGTAGCACCCCCTTGTTGTGCCAGAACAACAAAAAGCACATCGAACCCTATTTCGTACAACCGCTGAACTGCGAGCCTGAAGCCTCCATGCCCCCAAAAACCGAACATCCTAACACTGCAGGGGCCTTTGTCAGAGTTAGAATCGGGTCTTGGGGACTGCTGTACTTTAACAAGTCCCGGACGACGAAAGATTCACTAATTATCCCGACCCCTCTTCCCATTGCCACCCCCCTTCCCACTTTGAGGTTGAAGACCCCCTGAAGGACCCCCAATAAAGGACCTGATGGCTTTCCTAAACCCTAAACCCGAAACCCTAAACGAAACCCTAAACCCTTGCAACCCTACACCCGAAACTCCAAAAATCGGGCAGCCTCCTGAATCGACACCTCCGACTCTTTCTGTCTCCTCTTTCTTAGGTCCTTGAGCTTTTCGGGCTTCGAGCCTTAAAGTTAGGCGTTAAGGCTTCTTGGGTTTCAGGTTGGGCTTTGGCGTTTAGGGTTTAGGGTTTTGGGTTTTGGGTTTGGGCTTTGGCGTTTTAGGGTTTAGGGTTTTAGGTTTGGGTGTGTTTAGGGTTCAGGGCTTTGGGTTTGGGGCTTGGGGTTTAGGGAATTAGGGTTGAGCTTTTGCAAGGCCCCAAACCCAAGGCCCGAAAACCAAACCCCAAACCCTAAACCCTAAACCCTCATACTATATGCTTAACCTTTAAACCTGAAGCTGCAGACCTAACATCCGGGCTTAGGCTTTAGGGTTTAGGGCAACCGAAACCCTTCTTTGAGCCAGTCGGTAGCGTAACCTCCGTTTGAGCCTCAATCCCCAGACCCCAAAACCTTCACCCCCAGAGACCCTGAAGCCCCAAACCACTGAACGCTCAACATCAACTCACTACACCCCCCACTCCACCGAAGCTAACAGCAAAAGCACGCTCACCCTATGTAAGCCCGAAGCCCCGAACACCAAGTAGTAAAGAAACGATATGGGGGTTTCCGAAACTAGGGGACCCTAATATAGAGCACCCCTAAAAAGTAGGACGATCCTTCTTATAAAGGACCTCCAAAAAGGGTACCCCTAATTTTCGGAGACTCCCGTATTTGAAAATAGCGGTCCCGTCCTCTCCCTTCGCCTCGGCTTCTCTCAGGGCCTCGAAGCAAAGGGCTACTCGGGGCTTCTGCTGCTGGTTTGGGGCTTAAGCTTCAGGGTTTAGGGCTCAGGGCTCAGGCTTTAGGGTTTAGGGGTTCAAGCTTTAGGGCTTAGGGTTCAGGCTTTAGGGATTAGGCTTTTGTATGGTTTAGTAGGCTTACGGAGTTCGTTTAAAGGTCTCATGAGGCTTAACCAGATCTCACGGAGGTTCGAACTGCAGCTTCCCAAACCCAAAGCCTTAAACACTGCAAAGCCTAAACCGGGACGCCTGGAAGCTGGCAATGCAATGTCCCGAGAAGCTGGATGTCCTCATCTAGTCAAGCAACAACCCAAAACCGACACAAAGCCACAGAATCGAATTTGAGAAACCTTCTTCGGCGTTGAAAACCGGCTTCTATGGAGGGGTGTTACGCAGTACGTCATAAGGCGCTTTGCAAAGCTCTACGGAGTGTGAACATGCTACAATGCTTTATATGGGGGTTTCCGAAAATAGGGGACCCTAATATAGTACCCTAAATGGTAAGATCCTGATTATAAGGACCCCAAAATAAGGTACCTTAATTTTCGGAAAGTCCCATATGGTGGGTGTTCTAGTGCTGGCTTGACAGTCTTCATCAAGGACCTCCGAGGGCTTCAAAAAAAAAACTCCCTGAAATTAGGGTTTAGGGTTTAGGGGTTTAGGGTTTAGAGGTTTAGAGGTTTAGGGGTTTAGGGTTTAGGGTTTAGGGGTTAGGGTTAAAGGTTTAAGGTTTAGTTTCTGTTTGTCTTGCGAGGCACCAAGCCCAAAACGCCTTCGCGCGAAATCCCGAACCCCACGCGGCAGGCCTTTGCATGTTCCGCTCTCCGCCGCCTGAAGGCCTAGAGCAATGGCTCTTGGGATGTTGGGGCTTTAGGATTTAGGGTTTAGGATTTAGGGTTTCGGATTTGGGGTTTAGGCCTTTTGGGGCTTTGGGGCATGGGCTTCAAGCGTAGGGTCTGAGGTCTCTCAGCACCCTGGTGGTCGTTCGTCACTTGTAGTTTTGGGCTTAGGGTCTAGGGTTCAGGGCCTAAACCTTCCGCGCCTGCCAGACGAACGGTGGGAGATCTCTAAATTACGGTCCCTTTATAGGTCCCCCAAGTGGTACGACACCCTTATAGACAAGGACCCTAAGAGGGACCCAAATTTAGAGAACTGCCCATGTGGTACCCTTGTAGACACCCAAGGACCCCTAAAAGGGACCCAAATTTAGAGAACTGCCCATGTAGGGTAATTTTGTAGACACGCAAGGAACCCTTAAAAGGGGTCCCTAATTTAGAGAACCACCCCAACCCTAAACCCTAAACCCTTCTAGAAACCCTCAAGAAACCCTAGAAGGGTCCCTGATTTAGAGAACTACCCCAACTTCAAAACTCTGCACCCCTAAACCCTAAACCCCTAAACCCCTAAACCCTAAACCCTAAACCCCTAAACCCTAAACCCTAAACCCCTAAACCCTAAACCCTAAACCGAAGTCTTCCCCGGCGGGCCTCCGTGTACTCCT